CAAAAAACATTTTAGAAACGCGCTATATAAAAAATATTCTCAAAAAGTGAAATTAATTACATCAAAACTTCTTAACAAATGTTTTTATATTAGCGAAACGGTTTTAAATAAAGTAACAATTTACTGAAAAAAAGTTTTGTTTTTTAAATATAATTGACAATTGTATATATTTTTTTAATTTAAAACATATAAATTGTTAAAGTGTTCATTTCTAAAATAAATCTCATTAAAAAATAAAAAATTGTTATGATTTTATAAACGATGACATTCTTCGACAACGAAAGTCTCTTTAACGAATTTAAATATAAGAATGATTAAAGTTAATGCATTTAAAAAGATAAACAAAATTTCGTTAAAAAAAAAAAGTTTTAGAAAACCGTAACAACTTTATAAGTTTGATCTTAAATTGATCTTTTATATTATCGAAACGCTTTTAATGAAGTAAAAAAAAAACGCTTATAATTAATTTAAAAAAAAGTATTTATAAAATTTTTTTTTAATTTTATTTATGTAACTATGTATTTTTTATGAGAAATATTTAACTTTTGAACATATTAAACAAATAAAAAATATATAAAAATGTTAAATCAAAGATTGAAAAGGTTTTTTAATGCGTAAATAAAATAGACTAAGCATTTTAGTTTGATCAGTTTTGTTTGAGATGCGTTATGTATATATATTTATTTTTTTGTGTTTTTGCTTTAACTAAGTATTTTTTTTTCATTTTCTCTTTCGTTAAGATTTATTTATTTTTTTAAATTTTTTTTTCAGATAAGTTTAGGTAAGTTTTTGTAGCGCGTTTTTAAATTTTAAAAATACACCGTGGTCAAATCATTAAAACATTTTTTTTTTGCGTGGTCATATAAAGACATGAAATCGCACGTCTTCCTGTGAAAGCCTGTATATATATATATATATATATATATATATATATATATATATATATATATATATATATATATATATATTCCTATAGTTTACGGCTTAGAAAACGTGTTTGTGGTAAAAAATGGCTCTTTGCTTTTTTGGGGTATTAAAGCTGACAAAATTAAGGTAAGAATTATGTCAAAACGCCTTATCTTAATTGTTGGAAGTATGTAAACCACAAAAATGAAAATTAAAAGACTAGAATGTTTTTAAAAACATTCTAGTCTTTTAATTTATTTTTTAAAAATAAAAACATTCTGAATGTTTTTATTTTTATTTTTCAACTGTAAAACATGGAGTGTTGCTATGTAGCTTGACTTGCGGCAGAATGCTGCTATATCAACTGAAAAATAGCCTGTCTCTTAACGGAGTGTTGGTAATCAACTGACAAATAGCCTGACTAGCAACATAATGCGGCTACATTATCTGAGGGTTTGGTTGGAGCAGGCAGTCTATCAAATAATCAAAAAAAAAAAGTTTTTCTGGTCTTTAAAATTAAAATAAACCTAAAACTGACATGTTATGGTAAAAACTTAGACAACCATGCAAGAGTATATGTATAAACATGTGTATATATGCATATAAATATATATATATATATATATATATATATATATATATATATATATATATATATATATATATATATATATATATATATATATATATTTATATATATATATATAAAGAAAAATTAGGATAATTTTATATCTCGGGGTTACTCAATAAACTTGATATTATCAGATTTAAGAGTAAACGGAAAATAAAAACAAATGTATTTTAATTTTTTTTCTAAAACATAATTTTAACTATTTGATTCAAATTTAGTGTTATTTATATTATTTTAATCAATATTATTTAGATTGTTCACTTGTTTTTACTTGTTGGTTATTCACTTATTTTCATTAAAGTGTTCACAATTGTAGAAATTCGCATATCTAGAATTTGATGTTAATGTTCTTCTACCGTTTGTAAAACATATTGCAATTGAGTTTCATCTTTTGTCAAATTTTTTGTGTAATCTGAAAGTTTCAATATTTCAATACTCCCTTTTTCAGCTGCGTCATTTACAACTTTCATATAATTAACAATTTTATATGCTTCCTGGTATTCGGTTTATGTGCTCCATGTGTCTGAGCAATGTTTCATCATAAATACCAATTTATTCCAAGCACTTCAAATAATTATTTTGATCTTTTTGTTACAAAGTTATCTGAGTTCATGTTTACAATTTTATCCATTAATCCTTTGTCTGAAACCTTTTTACCTTTGGCTGGGTTTTCAAGTGCAATCAACATTTTTTCTATAGCTTCGTTATAAACATGATTGCTGAAAAAAGAGAGACTCACAAGGTTTTCAGTTAAATATCATAATTATCCTGCAATGGCTTTTATGGCAGATTCAGCTACTTCTTTGTGAAAAATTTTGAAATATTCAATTGAAATATTCAATATTCATTTTCTTAATCAGTGTCAGATCATTGTGATGAGCAGATGAAGAGATAGGAGCCCAAAATTAATGTTCTCCATGTAAATCAAAAATGAAAAAATTGAAAAACGTAGAAATTACTTCTCTTTATTTTTTGTTAAATAAAATTGGTGTCAAAACAAGTAGATTTTAATAGAGTTCAGTGCTTTTGCTATTTATCATGCTTGGTGCATAGCCCCAGGAGTATGAAAAATTATTTGACTTTGACCTGGAAGAGTTTTTCTTAAAAAATTATAGACGATTGCTCTAATTTTTTGTAATCATTGCAAAATTGTTTTGTTCCTTGCAGCATATTTACAGCAAATTCTACTGCTGATGGTGTAAATGAACCATACACTTTGAGATCTGCATCAGTTAATACTCATGATTCAGAGTTAATTTTATTCCTCTGATCACAAAATTGTTGAAACAACTTAATCTCTGGACCAATAGATGGTCCAAAATAAGTTTTGTAAACATGGAATAAAATCACTTCATAAACATAGTGTTGACAGGCTGTGTATAATAAAGACTTAGGTATATAAAGTACCTTGCTGGAAAAATTCCTAACTTTTCCAGCAAGGTACAAGCACACAGTGCCACAATTTTGTCATATGAAATGTTCCAATATTTTAAAGCTTGTTCAGTTTGTTCACTTATTTTTCACTGGTGCCCCTTTCCAGTTTTGGGACTGGCAACAGATTTTCAACATCATATCCTGTCACTAACACAGGCAGTCAATCCACTATATCTCTGCTGTTCAAACAGTTTTCTGTCCTAATGTACAGTTAATGGAACCTGTGGTTTCAATTCTGAAATAACTCTTTTTGCAACTTCTTTACAATTTTCAATACATACACATCAAAGTATATAAATATATATATATATATATATATATATATATATATATATATATATATATATATATATATATATATATATATATATATATATATATATATATATATGTATTTATATATGTATATATGTATATATGTATATATGTATATATATATATATATATATATATATATATATATATATATATATATATATATACATATATATATATATATATATATATATACATATATATATATATATATACATATATATATATATATATATATATATATATATATATATATATATATATATATATATATATATATATATATATATATATATATATATATATATATATATATATATATATATATATATATATATATATATATATATATATATATATATATATATATATATATAACGCTTCATTCTTAAGAGGTGATATCTACCATTGAATAACAGTCAAATTTAACTTTCTGCACAAATTAACCAAATTAAAATATCTCTGTTGTGATTTCAAACTATGATTTTAATTTTTGGTGTTATGAGAACCATATATTTGTGAGTGATATATGAGATATGTGTGTGTATACATATGTATATATATGTATGTATATATATATATATATATATATATATATATATATATATATATATATATATATATATATATACATATATATATATATATATATATATATATATATATATATATATATATATATATATACATAATATATATATATATATATATATATATATATATATATATGTATATATATAAATATATATGTATATATATATATATATATATATATATATATATATATATATATATATATATATATATATATATATATATATATTATTTAATAAAAAACAATATATATTTCATGGACAGGAGGTATACCACTGTTATTCAGGTCTTGCTTGTTCATCTTTAATTTTTACCATAAAATGTTAACTCTATGTTGTTGTTGTTTTTTAATTAATTTAAAAGACCGAAAAAAGTTTAAAAACTTTAAAAAGATTCTCTTTATTATTTGATAGACTACCTTGATAGACTACCTGCCTAAACCAAACTCCCAGTCAATGTAGCAGCACTCCTTGCATGTTCTACCTATTTATCATTCGATGTAGCAACATTCCATGCATGTTTTACCTGTTTGTCATTTGATATATCAGCACTCCTTGCATGTTCTACATGTTTGCCAGTCAATGTAGCAGCACTCCTTGCATGATCTACTTATTTACCAGTCGATGTATGGAAACAGTAAAAAATAAAAACACTATTTCCGCTTTATTTTTTTCAAAATAAAGCGGAAATTCTTTAAATTTAAAAAATTAGTTTGAAGAAAAATTTATATATTTATATATGTTAAACTGTATTAAAAGTCTGTTAAACAAGAAAACTTTTATTCAAGATATTTTTTATTTTTAAAAATAAAAAATATCTTAAATAAAAGTTCTGCATTTGAAGTTTTTTTTTTTTAAATCAATTTTTTTTTAATAATTAAGAAATAAATTTGAGAAACATTTTTAATTTAAATAGTTTTGATGCAACAAACTTATTGTATAAAAACAGTTATCTGAAAAAAAAATCAAAAATATTTTTAGACAACATGTTATTGATCAACTTAAATGTCACAAAACATAAGGACTGAAGTAGCTTAAACATTAGTACAGAAATAGCCTAAAGTAAGTTATAAACACTTCTCAAATGTAAAAACTTAAATAAAAATGTGAAACTTACATACCCTTGCAATATCAACAGCAAACGACATTTTAAACATCCAATCCAACTTGATATTTGGATTAAACAACACATCCTAAAAATACTGCATAATATTTTAAAAAAATACTGTTTAATATTCAAGTCAAAAACATAAATCATTTTTTATAAAATATTAGGCTAAAACAAATTTAAAGCCATGACACAAAGTTAGAAACCACAAACATTTTGTAGCTTTGTTAGTGAAGATTTATTTAAAAACATTATTTTTAATAGATTTAAAAATCGTAATAGGGACAGTATTTATTTTAAAATAATTTATTTAATGAAGTTATAGTTTCTATATAAACCAGGCATTTGGTTATGGTATTTAAAAAATTTCTGCTAAAAATGTTTTTAGGAGTAAAAATTGTTGAAAAGTTTAACATTTTACATTAATGTAATAAACTTTTGTAACATTAACTTAAAACTTTAAAGAACTAAATTAGAAATTGAATAAAAAGAATTAGAAATACTTTTAAACTGCCTTTTAGGCAATACTTACTTTTAAACTGCCTTTTTGGCAATACTTACTTTTAAACTGCCTTTTTGGCAATACTTTGTTAAAATGCAAATGTTTGGTGGATCAACACAAGCTCCAATAAACTGATTTAAATTTTGATGCTGCACCTCATGAACTGCTTTTAATTCATACAAAATATCTCGTGTTAGCGGCAAAGAATTTTTGTGCACTCTTTTAATTGCAACATAATTACCCTGATCAAAAAGATAAAAAATATTTATTAAACTTTTCATTATATATCAATTAAGCTAATCATGAAACATCACTGAAAACATCATATTAAAAAAGCCATCTGCAATTTTAAATCACTATTTGGTTTTTTCTCTTTTAGGTCCATTAGCTCAAATTATGTTAAAAAAAAACTAAAGGACCATTGCTCTTAAGTTTGACTGCTAGGTTAAACTTTGTATCAATTTAAAAATTTTGATTAATATGGTTACTAGTACTACATATTATTAATAAAAAAGCTTGAAATCAAAATCATGTGCTACTTGAATACTCAATTTAAAAAGTTTTATTTCTTTTTTATTAAAGTTTTTTATTAAAGTCAGTGAATACGCTGATAAATACCTGGAAACAACACAAATTTAAATAAATACTTAACAAAAAAATTGTTTTTAAAAACAACTTTAAGGTTCAGTGTTTGCTGCATTTACTTGAAGCATAAAAATAGCTTAAAGGTTCCGTGCTGCGTTTGCTCGGAGCATAAAGATTAAAATGTTATTTACAGTTTCTGAACCTTGAAAAAATAATACCTTTGTTAATTTTGTTAAAACACACTATTGGTGTAGTGGTAGAGCGCTTGCTTCATAAGCAAGAGGTTCCGAGTTTAATTCCCACCACGTCCCTGGTAGTACAACGCTCAACTTGTTTCTCTTTAATTTTGTAAAAGTCTTGTAAAAAAATTATAAAATAAAATTAACTTATAAAATAAAAACTCTTTTAGATTAAAGTTAAATCAGACTTTAATATATTAATATAGATACACATGGAATCAGTAGTCAGACACGGTGTCATTATAAGCAATATTGTCTGAACAAAAAAATCTGAACAACTTGAAACTGTTTATGACACTAGAGAAAATTTATGCCATAATTGTTTTAGCATAATTGTTAAAAATCTTATCAAATTTTATTTCAAATTGCTTACAAATTAAATTTAATAACGAAGTCTCGCTCTTTTTATGTAAGTTTTGTAAGGAGGAAAGATTAGTGTTTTAAGAGCGCTTTATATATATATATATATATATATATATATATATATATATATATATATATATATATATATATATATATATATATATATATATATATATATATATATATATATATATATATATATATATATATATATATAAATTAGTAAAAACACTTATCTAAATTTTTCTTCAACAAATTGTTTCTCCATCAATAAATCATAAGTTCATCAGGAAAGTATATTTATACATTCAGTTACAGTCAGTTACAAATCTTAATAGTTTAACCATTGGTAATGGTGCTTTACAGGCAGAACAAGAGGCTTCAATTATTATTAAGAATAAAATGGAGAACCAAAATCTAAAACAAGGAGCAACATTTAATCTATCAACAGGAAATTGCATCTAATATTAAACTAAAAAATAACATTTAATTTATCAACCAAAATTTCAGGTTTAAAATCAAAAGAACTAAATCTTCAAATATGATGCCGTTTCAGATGATACTATGGAGTTTTTGAGGTTACTATGGAGTTGAATAATATTATGGAGTTGGATAGGATGGAAAATACTTAAAAAAACAAAATACTTAAAACAAAATACTTAAAAAAATAGATTGTCTCGAGCAAGTTGTGATAAAGGAAATCCCGAAATACTAACACTTGATATTATCTGTAATAAATTGTTTGCGCGCTTTTAAACCGGTAATTGATGCAGCCTTTGGAAAACATTTGAATCCAGAGTTTGAAACAATTATAAAAAACTTTGCTGACATTTTTAAATCAATACAAAATTAAATGCACATTGCTAAAATAGAGGGATCAACATTAAAAAACTACATGGAAAATACATATTATTGCAAATCATCTTGTTCTTTTTCTAAAATATCATAATATAGGCTAAGCAAATTTTACAGAACAGGCTGGAGAGGCAGTGCATGCTAAGATTAAACCTACCTAGAAAAGATATAAGTCAGCACAGAACATAGTAAACAAAAGCTGCTACTGGTTTTAAATCAAGAATAAAAGAAAAATATCTGTGTTGTAGTTTTTTTTTGTTGTTAAATATATCACGGGCATACCAAAGATTTTTTAGTGTTTATTATTTATCTAAATTACTCTAAATTTTTGTATATTTATACCAGTCTCAAACAAGGATGAATTACAAAAAATGGTGGTAATTGAACCTTGGGAACAACAATAACCCAACAAAATCGCTTAAGGAAAAATGATTTTAGAAATTTTTTCAGGCTTCCTTAAATAACATTAAAATCATTAGATTTCAAATTTCATCATAAAATCTTTTGACCGTGTAAAGTATACTCTCCCTTCCCAAATTAAAGGGATTTTGTTTTGACTTTTTTTTCTTACTTACAGGATTTCAATTTTAAACTTAGCTAGTTCCAATAAATACATATTAGTAAAGACAAAAATAAATCTGAACTTTTAAATGGCACAAACTCTAACCTGGCAGTCAAATTTCAGAGCAGTGAAAAAAAGTTGGAAAAAAAAAATCTACATGATACCCTGTTTGGCTGTGAAAAGCATATAGATTTGAAGCTCTTATTTAACTGCCTTTAAGTGTAAATGTTAGACCCCACACAGTTCAAAAATGCCTTGCTAAAGATTTTAATCTTCAATCATATCGTCAGGGTTAGGGTTTGGCTTGGAATATGGTTAGATCTCTATATGATGTTATCAATGATGTTTTATGCAAAGCTAAATACACAAAGATATTTATATATATGTGCTAAACAACATCAATAGACACACAAACACACACATATGAATATATATATATATATATATATATATATATATATATATATATATATATATATATATATATATATATATAAACGTAACAGAATGGTTTTCAGTAGGGCTTGGCAAACACTGGAAAAATTCCAAAAACCTATAGGATTGATATAGGGAAATAAGATCTGTAAACTAAAAGAACATTTTTCATACTTAAGTTAAAATAAAAAGAATAGTTTTCTTAATTAATTATTAAACATTAATTTTTATTAATAAACAGTAACATATCTTTTTTTATTTATTATTAATATAGTTGGAATCTAATGAACTTGGATCATTTTTTTTTTAAGTTGCTTTTTTTCCTTTCCATTCCTTCTTTTTTTGTGTCAAGTTTTAAAATTACTGTTTCTTTCATTTCCAAATGCTATTGTATCATTTAAACTTTATAGTCATATTTTGAATCACATGATTTGGCAGACGAATCATTAATCTCATGTTTTTCATTAGTAAAATAATTTTTTTTTAAACATTGTTAAACAAAATTAACAAAATAAAAAACATTTTTAAGATGCATGTGAAAATGTTTTTAACATTTTCACATGTATCTAAGACTTTTTTTCTACATACTAAGACTTTTTTTTCTTAAAAAAAAAAAATCTAAGTATGTAGAAAAATATTAAAAACATTAAAAACATGTTTTATACATTCAACTAAACTAAATTTGATTGAAGATAGAGGGAGAATAATAGAATATTTTTCTATATATAAAAGTTTTGGCTTTCAACATTTTTGCTTCACATATTGAAACCTTTGTTGAGATTGCCAAAAACAAACAATACAATACAGATATCAACTACGACAAAACTGACAACACATCTTTAATTTAATTAATTAATTTACTAAATAAACTATTTCTTATAAGACATATTTTATATAATAGTCAGACGTTTGAATTTTTGTTATTCATTACTTTCACTTGAGAAAAAACGCACACAAAAAAAAATATTTACACTAAACTACTGTTTATTCATAACTAATTATACTTTTTTTAACTAAGAATTATGCATGGAATTTGTTTACAAAAGTATAATGTAAAAATACAATACAATTTAAAACACTTCATTTAATACAAAAGTCAAACTAACTGGTAAATATAAAATTATTACACTATAAATTATATTGATAAAATATACAACTATTTAACTGATAAAATATAAAATTACTACACTTAAAATTATTGCATAATAATTTTTATTTTATATAAAGAATTATATATTTTACACATTTACTTTGTAAAGGTAAAGGTAAAACCACAAACTCAAGGCCACTTAATTTTAAACTGTGTCATATATTATCGTAAATGGCTTAGGTTCTTGAGATACAATTTATGACAAGTTTGGTAATTTTTGTCAATAATTTAACAAGTTTTAGGAAACACCAAATTATGGCGTAGGAAACACCAAATTATGGCCAGAGATCCTAAACATGACCATTGCAAACTTATTCCTGGCCATTACATTTTAGGAATGGGATTAAAAAGTTCTGACATTTTAACAGTGACAGTATTTATAAACTTAAAAAAACAAAACAAATTTATTGTAGCAAGTTTAAAAAATAAGTTCTGCATAAATTTTTACTTTTGTAAATTTAACTCTTTTTTTATCAGCTAAACAAATAATAGATTTTGAAACATTTCACAACATTTTAATGTTTTCAAATTAGCAAATGTCTTAAATAAATAAAAACATAAACTTCCTATATTTAAATGATTACTACTAATTTTTCTAAGAATGAAAACAAAAAAAATAGAATAAATAATGTAGATAATAAAAATTTAATTCAACTTTATAATTAAAACTTAAATTTTTATTTAAACTTAATTATAACTAAACCTTACTCATGGCCAAGAATAGGTTGATATGTGGCCATGATTACGTCATTATTTATGGGTAACAAATAAAACAACTGTGACAACATAAACACTTCCAAACAATGTAATTTTAATTTCAAACCATAATAAAATGATTTTATTACAAGAATAAACCATTGCAATTGAGTTAAACTTTATGCTTTTTATTAAACAAGATAATTCGACAAAATATTTTTTTGCATTTTTTCATTCACGATGAACATATTTGCCATAGTATATGCTAATTTAGAATAATTTTCCTAGTCAGATAAAATAACCTTGTGTTGATGTTATGTAACAAACTGAGGTTCCAAATATAAAAGTTGGATTTTA